AGGCAAACCGTTGTCCAATGCATAGTCGGGGTCCGCCACCAAACGGTATGTACGCATAGGGATGGTGTGTGGGCTCCAGAAAGCGGTCGGGAATGAAGTCGTTAGGGTTGGGCCACAGGTCCGGCTGTCGGTGCAGAGCATAGGGTACTATTTCGACGGACGTTCCCTTCGGTATAGTTATGCCTAATGTATGGAAATATAATTTGTTTTAATATTAAGTTTTAGATTAAATGCATGTTTTGTATAGTTTTTCTGATAATTACCTGTATTTCCAAGTTTGTAGTCCTGTAGGCATTCCCGTTGTATTCGGGTTAGGGATGGGGCCAGACGTAGGGTCTCATTGATGACTGCATTCAAGTATTTCAAATGACCTAGCTTCTCGTATGTAAACTCATCGCACGTTTTCAGTTCATCGTATAGCCTTTGCTGGCAGTCTTTGTTTTGGGACAAGTAGTATATGGCGTGAGTTATGGCGGCACTGGTAGTGTCGTAGCCGGCGATGAAAAATAGTATTCCCTGAGCCGTGAGTTCGTCGGCTGTGAGTTGACCCAACTTTTTGGACATTTGTTGATCATTGGGTTCGTCCGGCTCTACATCGCTGTGGGAATTATAGCCCAAATCTTTAGCCGACTTTTCCGAGTCTATCATCAATTGTATGAAATCTGTGCGACGTTTGGCTATAAATGTAAAAATGATTTTTATTTATAAATTCATGTATTTAAAAAAATTTTTTTTCATTTATAAAACTGTAATTGTAATACTAAAATGTTTTTTAATTAATGATATAATAATTTTTTTTCTTATTTGGAATAATCATGGACAGTGACAACTAAAATATTTAAAAAACAAAAAATAAGTGGCTCATAATTTATTTATTTCATATAGATTATCTATGTAATAGGTTTTACTAGTACTGTATTTATAAAGTATAAATTAATTTTTAATTCAAATTTAAAAATATTTTCTTTAACTCAAATATTATTTACACTCGCAACAAAAACCTAATTATTTATGGAAATGACATTGCTTACATTTATCAGTTGTCGTGTATTTGTTGCTAACTTTCCGTTCACTGAGTATTTGATTCGTGAGATCATCGAAGTATTGGACGGCCTTAATGTCAAAAGGCTCGGCCCCCACAAGTTTGCCAATTTCGGGCACCATTACCGACAGCACAATACCCACACCGGCGTCGGTATTCAGGATTTTCATAGCATTTG